ACGCGCCCCGCGCCCCGCCCTGTGCCTCCCGCCCGGAAGGAGCCAGCTGGCCCGAGCGCCGGCGGCGGCTGAGTCAGGCAAGGTAAGCGCGGCCGGCCCGTTACCGCGGGCACTGAGGACCAGGGCGGCGCTGTGGTTTCGGTGCCGGCCTCGGGCGGGCGGTCTAATGAGCTCTCGGCACGCACCCCGCGCGGGCGGCCCGCCCGGTGCCCCTGCCCTCCCGCGTTTCTGCCCCGCGGGGATCCTGGCGGCCCGCCCTGGCGTCACCCCCGAAACCTTTCGGTTTCATCTTGGGGCCCAGGCGCGGGGTCCTGAGTCTCTGCAAGGCCGCCGGCCTGATCCCTCCTCTCTCCCCTCAGCAAAGATCTGCGTGCCTGATCATGGGGCTCCCGAGCCGGGAAACCTGGGCCCAGCGCCTGGGCGCCTTCCGGGCCAGCCCCTCTGCCTTCATGGCAGGTCCGGAGGGTGAGGATCTGGGTCGTGACCTGCTGAGCGACCTGAGGAGTGAGAAGCTCAGCGAACAGACCAAGGTAGGTCCTGCACGCCTACCACACCCGCCCTGGCCCCTGTGGTCACTTCAAGCCACTTTGCCCTGAACTTCACCTCCAAATCCCCCATCCCCAGGTTTCCTTGCTGGCCTTGAGCTTGGAGTACCCAGCCCAGCTGTGGCCAGATGTCCCTGCAGCCGAGGCAGCTGCCGCCTCCCTGTTGGATACCCTGGTCCTTCTACCCCCACGGCCATCAGCTCTGCGGCGGCCCCTCTTGCTGGCAGCAACCACAGCCCTGGTGGCAGGGGGTGCGCTGGGTCCCACCTCGGAAGCCTCCCTCCGACTCCTGCCTCTACTGCTAGGCTTGGCATCGGGCAGAGATCTGGGGCGAGGCTTTGGCCCCTCCTCAGAGCAGCGACCCCTGCAGGCCACCGCATACGAGTGCCTGCGGGAGCTGGAGAGCTGCAAGCCTGGGCTGCTGGGGGGCTGCCTGGGACTGCTGCGTGGCCTGCTGGGGCAGGAGGGCCCGGTGGGCCCGGTCCAGCCACTCAGTCTGCTGCTGGCACTTGCCCTACGCAACACCTTGGTGATACAGGCCAGGGCCAGGGCCAGCCTGCAGGGCCTGCTCACAGCCAGGGCTTCCCCCACTGCGGGCGGCCCCTGGAACTGGACGCTAGCGGAAGAGGGCGATGACCACCTTCAGCCCCAGGCGCCCAGCTGGCCAGCAGTTGAGAAGGAGGAGTGTAGCGTTTCAGTGCTAGAGCCCAGTCCAGAGGAGGCCCAGGAGCTGCGGGCTGCGGTGGCCCAGCTTCTGGACACCTCGTACCTGCTCACCCCTGTGGCCCAGGCCCAGCTTCTGTGGCTGCTGGGCTGGGCTCTGCGGGGTCTGCGGGGACAGCCACCAGTGCTCTTCAAACCACAGTTGGTACGGCTGCTAGGCACAGCTCAGCTGACACTGCTGCATGCCGTTCTGGCACTGAAGGCCGCGTTTGGCGAGGCCCTGTTCACAGCCCAGGATGAGGCCTTGCTGCTCCGCCGGCTGACCTTGGCCGCCCAGCACCCGGCCTTGCCCCTGCCCACCCATCTCTTCTACCTGCACTGCCTCCTGAGCTTCCCAGAGAACTGCCCACTGGGCCCCGCAGGCGAGGAGGCTGCCCCACTGCTGCTAGAGCCCCAGCTGTGCCGTGGCCTCCTACCCAGTCTCCTTCATGACCCTATGGCCCTCCTGGCCCGCCTGCACCTCCTGTGCCTGCTCTGTGCTGAAGACGAAGAGAAGGAGGAAGGAGGCCAGGGCCAGAGCCCCCGGCACTACTTGGAGGAGCTGCTGGTCGGCCTGCAGCAGAGGGCAGCCCTCGCTGGGGGCCCCCGGTCCTTGGCTACACTCTGCTTCCAGGCGTCATTCCTGGTCGCTCACTGCCTGGCTGGACAACCTTCAGTACTGACACCCTTGACCCACGGACTCGCCCAACTGTACCGAGCCCGGCCTGCGCTGGCTCCCCATTTTGTTGACTTCTTGCATCGGGTGGGCCCTGAGCTGGGGGAGCCCCTGAGGGTAGTGTTGCAGCAAGAGGTCGTGTCCAGGCCAGCGGGGGATGAGGCCCTTCGTTGGCACCTGCAGATGCTGGCAGCGGTGGCAGACAGGGATGCCCAGAGTGCCACCCTCAGCTTCCTGCAGGCTGCCGCTGCCCACTGCACGGACTGGGGCCTCCAGCAGGCCTTGCTGAGGGCCTGCCGGGCCCTGCTGCGGGCGGGTGTTCGGGAGGGCCTGGCCGACTTACTGCAGGCACTGGCCAGGGAGCTGGAGGACCCCGATGGGCGGGACCACGCCCGCCTCTATTACGTTCTCCTGGGACACCTGTCAGGGCCCAAGCTGGCGGTGGCCTTGGGCCCCTCACTGGCTACACCTGCACTGGCCTCTTCACTGGTGGCGGAGAACCAGGGCTTTGCGACAGCGCTGATGGTGCAAGAGGCCCCGGCCCCGATTCGGCTGCACATGGGGCCCCGCAGGGCCGAGGGCCCGGGCCCAGTGCTGCAGCTCCAGGTGGAGGTGCTAGAGCCAGTGTACTCTCTGGAGCTGCGCTTCCGAGTGGAAGGACAACTCTATGCCCCCCTGGAGGCTGTCCACGTGCCCTGCCTGTGCCCTGGCCGCCTCCCCCGTCCTCTGCTCCTGCCCCTGCAGCCCCGGCGCCCAGCCCCCACGCAGCTGGACATCCGCGCTCTTTACACCAAATCCACTGGCCTCACGTGCTATGCCCACCTGCCGCCCCTGCCTGTGAAATTCGCTGATCTCTTCCTGCCTTTCCCCCAGCCCCCTGAGGGGGCCAGGCTGGGCTTCTTTGAGGAACTCTGGGACGCCTGCCTGCCAAAGGGCACTGAGAGTCGCCTGTGGTGCCCTCTTGGGCCACAGGGGCTGGCAGCCTTGGTGTCCTGCCACCTGGAGCCCTTCGTGGTGGTGTCCCAGCCCCCCACCAGCTACCACGTGGCCATCCACCTGCCCCCAGACTCGAGGCTGCTGCTGCGGCTGGAGGGAGCCCAGGAGGACGGAGTGCCCGTGGTCCTCCGGACTGATGACTGGACAGTGCTGCCCCTGGTTGGGGACTACCTCCGGGGGCTGTCAGCTGCCGTCTGACCCTAGGGCCGGGCTGGGCCAGGTGGGAACAGGACTGTGGCCCTTGTAGGGCCTTGTCTAAGAGGGTCAGCTGAAGACCAGGACACAGTCCTGTGGCTCTTTAAAACCTACGTTCACCACTGACCCTCGTGGTTTGTTTTTTTCTGGGCCCTGATCAGGAGCAGAGGCAGTGGGTGGGGTCAGAGGCTCCGAGACAGCCATTAGAGCAGGAACCCCCAGGCTGCCGGGCTCCGGAGTTCCTTCCGGCCCAGGAAGCAGGAGGGAACAAGTCCTCACCTCTGCTTCTCAGAGGGTCTGGCTTTGCCCAAAGCCACCCAGTAATTTAGGCATGAACCCAGAGCCAGGTTTGGGCCTCCTTTCTCCCTCCCTTCTCTGGGCCAGTGCTTTGCTGCTCCTAAAGTTTGCAGGCCCCTGGCCCAGAGTGCCTGGGCTAGAAACAGCGAGGAGGCTGCAGCGGCCTCTTCCCTGGGGAGGGCGGCAGCCCCAGGCCAGGATGGGACCATCTCTAAGAGGGGCCTGCTAGTGTGGTTTCAGCGCCGGGGGGCGGGGAACGGGGTCTGAAGCTAAGCTGGCTTTTCCTCGCCCCATCTAGGAAACCCTATCTGTGCCTAGGGATCTTCCCAGGTAAGAATAGGCCCATCTAGTTCTTATTCCAAGTACATAAGGTGCTCTGGATCCCAGCGCCGCTGCCAGACCCCAGCTGGTGTTTTCCACACGTTGCCTCACTTTGTCCTTGCAACAGCTTGGCAGGGCCCCACAGGTGAGGAAACCACAGGCCGGAGGGGCTGAGTGATTTTCCAATAGTTGCCCATCTGGTTGGTAATCACGTCTTGTCTCTTTGGAGCAGGTTTCTGTTACCACACTGTCGGAGCAAAGCTCTGCATGGGACACAGAGTCTCCACCCTCAGCCCCGGGCCAGCCCCCCCTCCCCGGAGGCCACAGGAGCAGCAGTCAGCAGTGCTGGCTGGAGAGGGCCCAGCGGCTTGGGCCTTGCTGTCCTGGGGGAAGGGCCCCTTCTGCTTCCTGGGCTCCAGGCACACAGGTTCCTACGGACCAGCTTCACTCCTCCTGATGGGGGTGGGGGGCGGGGTAGGAGAGGGAAGAAGGGCCTGGGACAAGTGAGGCTGTTACAGGCCAGGTCAGGTAGCCTTCCCCAAGCTGGAGCTCCAGCAATAACTTGCTGTGTGATCTGAGCAAGCCGTCGCAAGTCCCGGAGGGTTCGGTTCCAGGAGACACTTCACCAGCTGCTTCCAGCAGAAAGGGAGTTTGGGCAGAATCAGGTGCGCAGAAAATCTCTGGAAAGGCTGGCCAGTGATCCTGCAGAAGGCCGCCGCTGGGACTGCTGAGTTCCAGAAGGCAGTGCCCTTCCTGCAGTCCAGTGCTCAGCACCCAGGGAGCTGGTCCCAGAGCCTGGAACATGGGGTGGGGACCCCACCCCCCCACAAAGCCACAGGACTGAGGCTGCTGCAGAAAGACGGAAGCTTCCACCGTGGGTGAACAGCTGCAGCCTCGGTTCCTTCGTCCTCATCATTCTGGGGCATCTAACAACCTATGTCCTGCACAGACCTCTAGTGGCAAAGGAGTCCAGAAAACGTACTTGCTTTCTCGTTTTTTGTTTTATTTATTTCTAGAGAGAGGAGAAGGGAGGGAGAAAGAGGGAGAGAAACATCAAAGTGAGAGAGAAGCAGCAGGTAGTCACCTCCTGCCCCCTGTATGTGCCCCGATCAGGGACCTGCCCCGCAGCCCTGTCATGTGCCCTGACCAGGAATCAAGCCGGTGACCTTTGGCTTTGCGGAACAACGACCAACCCACTGAGCAATGCCAGTTAGGGCTTGTTTTCTTCTGGACTTACGATGCAGAAAGTGGTATTAATCCTTTGTCCAAAGCAGGATTCAAACTACAATAGAGCTGTTAAGTGCTGTGTTGCCGTTCCCCCTGCTCAGAATAAAGTTGTTTCTTAGCTATACCTGTCTGCTCTACCCCTCTAGCAGCCAGGAATGCTTAGTCTTATACATACTGTTTAAAAAAAAAAATCCTTTGTCCAAGGTTAAGCTAACTGGCCCCTGTAAGAACTCACTAGCCCTCCTGTCGTCCATCTCTCCCCATCCCTGCCTCCATCCCATTCTGTCCGCCCATTCTTCCGGTGCCGGGCACCAGGCGACCTCTAATGCTCTCCCCTTGGCGCCCCAACCACAAGTGTGCCCACAGTGGACATTTTTACACACCTATGTGACAATTTCCCTAGGATACATATTGGAAGCAGAATTGCTGAATCATAGGTCACGCGCATGCTTAGTTTGACTAAGACGTGTCCGAGTAACTAGTTCTTAGATTTGCACCTTCAAATGGGAAGCCCTGAGAGGAAGTAGGGACGGACACTGGGTGAGCCAGCCTGCCATGTCCACCACAGCTCCCTTTGCACACTCAGTATCCACATGCTTCTGCTCGCACTTAAACTTGCCAAAGATCACAACAACAGCATGCTCCCGCATAACTACGCCCCTACAACCAAACTTCCCAAAAGGGGTGCCCAAAGCCACCTCAGCCAGTGGCTGCCTGGGTGGCGGTAGCAGTGTTCACCAACGGCTGGCTCCGCACCTCAGGCGTGCCCCCAGCCTCCCCCGTCAGAAGTTAGGCCCGGCCACGGCGCCAGCTTTGGCTCCTGAGGTGGGAAGAGTGTTGGTTTTGGGCAAATCCTCCCCTGCCGGCGCGCACCTTCCAGCCCTCCCCCTGCCGTGGCCGTTGCGGGAGTCTGCGTACGTGGGCACGGAGGTGCTGAATAGTCATAATCTCACCCTGATAAACAATAACAAATGCGTTGCCTTATGATGTTAGTCATCAGTAGTAGCACACACGGTATGAAACGCGGAAAGCCATGGGAGGGACATTTGTTAACCTGTATTTTACTTACAAGGAAGAAAGCATCTTGTAACAAGTTACAAGGCCATAATGAGGGCTTCTAGTTTTAGCAGATAAAAATATACAGGATGCCCAGTTAAATTGGAACTTCGGAGATGTAATCTTTTAGTATAAGTATGTCCCAAACAAACATTGCCTAGAACATGTAAAAAATTAGTTGTTTCTCTGAAATTCAGATATACCTAGGCATCTTTTTTTCTTTTTTTAATCTGTCAGCCCAGAGTGGTATTTATAACATTTTTTTCCATTACCCGTTCCATGTTGCTTTTGCTCTCAAGGATCTTTACCTAGTGAGGTGACTTTCATTCCCGAAGGTCTGAGTTCGTGGTCACCCTAGCTGTCGAGTATTTTTAGACCCTCACGAACATTATCACCAGGCCTGGCCGCCCTCGGAGGTGCCCCAGGGAACCTCCTGGATACAACACCACTCCTTGTCTCCGTTGTGCAGTAACAACGACTTCTGCCTTGATAATCAGGATCGGTCACCCTTTTAGAACGGTTGGTGCTGCGGCTTGGAGGCGGAGAATTTCATGGGTGCGACTTAAGGCACACCATGAGCCCCGCACCGCCTAATTCTGGGTTCACTGGCTACACTTCTAACTTGTTCTTCCCTCTCCGCTCCAAAGTCCACAAGAGATGACAGGAAGGGATAAAGTCTGGGTGGGGAGAAAGGGAGCCTGCCACCAGCTTTGTACCCATGACCCCAGCAGTCACAGCTGTCCTCTGTCTTCAAGAGTAATTCAGTTTACAGCCATAGTACCTGGGAAATTGCTGAGGTGAAAATGTTTGCGTATCAAAGAGTATCCCACACAATATTCACACATCTCCGACTCTTATCAGGAGGTCACGGAACCTCAGTGGAGCGCAGGCAGTTCTGCCAGCCTCAGAGTGGAGGCATCGAACAAAGCCACAGAAACCCCAAGAATCACAGATGTAACTTTTCAAAGACCCAGGACACGTAAGACACCACACCACCTTTGCTCCTTCAGGCTCAACTGCAAAAACTGGCCCCGTCCCCAGCCAGCGGCTCTTACTAGAGGAGCCAGGACCATAAACCAAGGACCCTTTTGGCCTCAGATTCCCAGACCCAGGGGGCGGTGTCTAACACCCAAAACCAGACGAGGGGGAGAATGCCCAAGCCCCAGGGCAGCTGCTGGACAAACTCCAGGTAACGTGAAAACAACCTATGCGAACAAGGCGAGGGGGCCTCTTGGTCTAACACAGCACCAGAAAGACTGAGTGCACCGTGTAGCTGCAAATGTTAAAAAGTGCCTGAGGGATTAGGGCTTGGACTACAAGGGAAGGAGGTTTTCAGTGTGTGTACGACCTGAAGGGTCTGAAGGGTACGCGTCTGAAACGCGTAATTTCTAGGGGAGCAAAACACTCAAAAAGGAAGGAAGGAGTCATTTGGGCGTGAAAGGGGAAGTAAATGGAGAAATTTCATGGTTCTGCAAGACAACAAAATCAGGACCTACAAGTTCTCACCCACTCTACAAACAAATCCATTCAAGGATCTGGGCTTTGCAGTGTTAACAGAAGAGGGCGCATTAAGCAGGGATCTTATAAACCACCCAACAGCACAGAAATGAACAAGATAAAAGGTGAACAGTTTCAGGGGGAGCATGTGAGCTCTTGGGGCATTGTGGTCAGTTTGGTTCAAATAAACTCAAAAAATTCTCAAAAAAAAAAAAAAAAGATTGACAGGTTCGTACAGAGTTATTGCAAAATACCAGAAAGTGGATTTCATTACATATCAACCACAGAAGAGTCCCACACATCTGCCCGGAAAAGCAGCCTGGAAGCAGAGCTGTGACAGGCGCTCTACACAGAACGAAATAGGTTCGAAAGCACGTGAGATGCAAAACCACCTTGGATGAGAAGTTTTACAAGAACAGAGAGAGACAAAATCCAGGAAGAAAGGAACAAGAGGAAAGAAACACAAAAAGTATCTAGACCCCTGGCAGGTGTAGCTTGGTGGACTGAGTGCCAGCCTGTGAACCAAATGGTCACTGGTTCTATTCCCAGTCAGGGTACCTACTTGGGTTGTGGGCCAGGTCCCCAGTAGGGAGCATGTGAGAGGCAACTACACATGGATGTTTCTCTCCCTCCCTTTTTCCCTCTCTCTAAAAATAAATAAAACCTTTTTAAATTTTTTTTAAAAATTAAAAAGTATCTAGAAATAAAGATTACACAAGATGCCCAAGAGAGATCAGTATAATAAGGGGCATTGAAGAAAGACACAAAAACAATCAAGAGAATGAAAATGAGACAAAGGAGTCTTCATGGGTCACAAGAAAATAATGGAAACAAGATCATCAAAGAGCCACATTCGTATTATTGGGTCCCTGAAGAAAAACTAAACAATGAACCAGCACAGATATTTAATACTGCATTCCAAGGAAACTTTACAGGAAAGAAAAATCTGCACATTCAAAGGGCCCACTGAGAACCTTGGAAAATTAACCCAGGACAATCAACTTTGAGATATATCCCCGTAAAATCATTAGATTTGAAGATGTTAAAAAAAAAAAAAAAAGTCTCCCAAGATCTCTAGGCAGAAAGATCAAATAATTTACAAAAGAATTAGAATGGTAACATACAAAGCAAGACAACTCTGGAACAGCATCTTTTAAACATTTGTAAAAGTGTAAACCTAGGTTTTTATATTCACACAAATTGTCCTTCAGATGTCAAGGCTATAGGAAATGGTGTTCTCCTTTTCAACAAGTATTCGTGCATCTATAAGCCAATCTGATAGAGAATGCACTTCATCCAACTAAGAGATGACAATTATATATATAAAATTATAGATATATAAATACAAATATATCATGTTCCAAGACTAAAACAAAGGGGGGCCTGAGGGTAAATAACTAACTAAAGATGTTATATATTGTCATAAATTGAAAATAATATCACTAAAAGCATGGGAGAAGAAGGGAGAGGGAAAGAGAAAGAGAAGATGAGCTGACTGGTGGCTGTGTAGGTGCCTCTCAGCTCCAAATTCACTCTTCGCTGTCTGCTCTGTGAAAATAGATCTGGACCCTTTAAATATCTTTGCCCCGGCTCATTGTTAAGCTCTGTCGGCAGAGGGCGCAGAGGAGCCATTGCAGAAGGGACTGCCTATGCGGTCCAATTAGACAAATCTCCTGAGGCTTCTCTGCTACCCAGGCGTCCTCCAGCAGAAAGCAACTGCAGTCAGTGCTCACACCTTCTCCCGCACAGGCTCCTGCTGTGCATGGGGAGCGGCAGCACAGCAGACTGCCCAGGGCCTGAGCCCCAAGCTCTGCTGGAAGTACTTAAGCCAGCCAATCCTAAACCGTTCCCCCAACCCACCTTACCTTTCCCTCAGAAGACCCAGTATATGCTATGGCCTATGCTGTCCCCTCCCTTCTTTCTGCCTCCTGACCAAGTCCAGCGCTTACTGGCGGCCCTGTGTGGCAGGCTGTGGCTCTTGCTCCTGGGGGAACTGTATGGAGCATTGAACTTTTCTTTCAATGGCATTGACCTCTCCCTATCATCATTCAGTCACCTCTATACATTAAAATCCATGGGTACAGCTCTGACTGGTGTGGCCCCACTGGTTGGGCATCATCTGGCAAAGCGAAAAGTCCCCAGTTCAATTCCCAGTCAGGGCATGTGCCTGGGTTATGGGTTCATCTCCCATCAGGGCGCCTATGAGAGGCAACTGATCAATGTTTCTCTCCCTCTCTTTCTCTCTCCCTTCCACTCTCTTTAAAAAACAAATTAATTGAATCTTTTTAAAAAATTCATGGGTACAATTAGGGCAAGGACAGCTGCCTGAAACTAATTAGCAAGGTTTTGTCTTCCAGTGAGTGGCATAACTGAGCCTTCAGCAAGCACTCTGCTGTTCATTCAAGCCTGCCATTCCAGGAGCCAGGCTCCTGGTAGCGCCAGTGATGCCCATACTGTTTCACACTAGGAAGCAGTACTGTGGGGCCATGAAAATACCGGCTGAGGCACTGTGGTCAGGGAAGACAGCCATCTCCAGAAGCAGCAGATCCTGCCGCTTTCATAATAGAAGGGATCCGATGTCATTGCCCTGAAACTGAGCGGCTGGCTGATCTCCTGGGTTATATTCTGCTATATGGGGAGCTCGGTGCTGGTCTCTCCTTTCAGACGTTATGCATCTATCTGTGGCTGTAGTCAGGTCAGCCTTGCCGAGGAAAAATTCATGTTGAGCTCACCACGCATCATTTCTATCCCTCGCACACGACTTTTTTCATGAGCCTGTTGGGCAATGACAGGCATGAATCAGAAAGGACGATGCTGCCTGCTACTTGCTCAAGGTGCTCTTTGGTGAGCATTCACAAGTCAGTTAATACTACACTCTGGACCCATTCCAGGAAGCCTACTAATACCAGAAATGAAAGAAGGATCATCACTACTGATCCCATGGACATTGAAAGGATGATGAAATATAAATAACTCTGTGCCCACAATCTGATGACTCATAGGAAATGGACCAATTCTTTGAATGACAGAAAGTAAGACATACCTTGAAGAAAAGGCGGGTTTGGTTCCCTACCAATGCAATAAAGCGAATATGGCAATAAAGCGAGTCACACAGATGTTTTGGCTTCCCACTGATGGTTTTTGCAGGTAAGGTTTTATTGGAAAATAACCATGTGCATTAATTTACATATTGCCTATGGCTGTTTTTACGCTACAATGAGAAATTTGAGCAATTGTGACAGAGACTATATGTGAGGCTTGCCATACTCTGCTATATAATAATCAGAAAATAAAATGGAAAAGAAAGATCTGATTTGGAATACAAATATAATCTATCTAGGAATAAACTTTAAAATATAATAATTATTGTGTATGAAGAAAGCCTTAAAACTATACAGATAGACATAAAAGAAAACATAAGTGGCATTATGTATCTTATTCTTCATAGAAAACTAAAGCAAGATTCTCTAAGTTAATTTGTCAATACCCTCCAGCCAAAGACCACCAACACATCTGTAGCTGAACAGATGGGTTTATTACTTTTGCACTGTGGGGCATTTCAGTAAGTGGGTGTTGGGCAGGATTTATAGGTGATTTAGGGGAGGGTTTAAGGAAGCAGGACTTTTCTCTGAATTGGATGCTGTCAGAAAGTGTAAGCATTTCTATGATGGAATGATGTTAACGAATCTTAACTAGACTGAGGCAAGTCACATCTAATCCAAGATAGAAGGATGTTTCATCATTTTTGTTGTTTGGACAATGTTCATGTCTTGGGCCATGTTCACATGATTACAGAGGGATCTTGTTTTTCTCTTGATCCCGCATGTCTGTGAAATTGTTGATGTTCAACAGAACACCAAGGCCAGCTCTAGATGTCTGGGGGTGTTTTTCTCTTTGCCAAATCTATGAATTTAATGCAATTTTAATCTAAAAAAAAAAAACCCAAAAAGTTTATTTACTTTTTAGAGAGAGCAAGCAGGGAGAAAGAGAGAGAGAGTAACATTTATTGGTTGCCTCTTGTCCATGCCCTGACCAGGCACGAACCCGACACCCAGGCATGTGCCCTGATCAGGAATCGAACTGGCCACCTTTCCCTTTGTGGGACAACGCCCAACTGAGCCACACCGGTCCGGGCACAGTTTTAAGCTTAATCATCAGTTTGTAGCGTTCTATGAGAGAACTTGACAAAACATACCTAACTTGGGTAGCTATACAAATATAAAGATTAGAGAAGAGTTAAGAAACCAAAGAAGTATTGTGAAAATTAAGACATAAAAATAAAAGGTTGGTAAATTTGACTACACTAAATAAAATTCGTACGAGTAATAAAAATCAAATATACATACACAGGTTTAGAAGACAAACCACAAGTTCGGATAAAATATCTCCAACTCATTTGAGAGTCTATGTCCTGGTAAAATTAAAACAAAATTCCCTAACAATATAAAAACTATACTTTCTGGAAACATTCTACACCTGAAACTAGTATACTATTTATGTCAACTGTAATTTACAATTTTTTAAGTTAAAATAAAAAATGTACAATTGAAAACTATTTCAAGGGGGGAAAAAAAGCTGGGACTTCACCACAGGGAGGCGGGGTTTGCCAAGGAACCTCAAGGAAAGACTACGCTTCCCAGGCGGCCCTGCGCTGACTGTCCGGGGCGTTCCGACAGGCTTTTCGTGCTTCACGCACCATATTCGGCCTCAGCCCGCGAGCCAGCACGGAGTAGCGGCACAGGATGGAGAGCAGCGACGAGGAAGACGTCGAGAAGCGCCGAGTCCACGTACGCCCCGTCACTCTGCGCAGCGCCCCCCCTGCCACACTGCACCTTCTGCCTTGTGAGATCCCCGTTAACCGGCCCGCCCCTGTGGAGCGCTTCTTCACCCCGGCCATCCGTCAGGGTCCCGATGGTGAGCGCTCATCCAGACCACGGCTCCCGCTGGCCCCCGCGCTATTGTCGGCGAGGGCGGGCGCGATGGCTCCTGGGAATCGTGGTCCACCGGAGACGGCGGGAAGGCCGCCACCGGGCTGGCCCCGCGGGCCTGCATCAGGCCCTCACCGATGCCCCGCATCTGCTTCCTTTAGGACTCGAAGTGTCGTTTCGGGGCCGCGGTCTGCGGGGAGAGGAGGTGGAGGTGCCGCCCGGTCTCGTGGGATATGTGATGGTGATGGAAGAGAAGGGAGAGGTGCTGGGGAAGCAGAACTCCCCGCAGGGGTCAGACAGTGAGGAACCAGAGCAGGAGCTGCTGGAGCCCCCGGAGGCGGCCCTGGAGCGGGACTTCGTGAGCACAGGGGGACGGGGTTGGCAGGGGGGGACGGGCGGGAGCAGCGGCCCCGATGCTGAGCCGGGCCCCTTCCCCAGGACCGCGTTATCAGAGCCTCCGGCAGTTTCAGCCGCTTCACCGTGTGGGGCCTGGAGACCGTCCCTGGCCCGGATGCGAAAGTGCGGGCGGCCCTAACTTGGCCCAGCCTCGCCTCAGCGGTGAGTAACTGATGGGCCGTCTTCCTCCCAGGCCCGTCTGGACCCCCCACCGCCTTCAGTTGTTTCCTGGGTTGTCCAGAATCTTGCCCCTAAGTGGATCTGGGGCTTCAGGGTTCCGGAGCCCAGTAGGGCTGTTGGAGCCTGGCTCTGACTGGAAGGTTATGCTGCTAAGGGCAGCGTGGCCCCTCTGGCCTGTCTACAAGGGGCTGGGATTCTGAGCAGCTGGGTTCCTCCCAGAGTATGTGGGTCCCCCAACACCCCATCTCAGAAATCCAGTGGTAAAGGTGACTCCTCCCGCAGATCCACGCGCAGGTGCCAGAGGACTGAGAACAAGAGCTTGAAGGCACTGTTCCCTTCACCCAAAAAACCAGCTCTTCACCTCTGACCCACTGATTGTCACCCCAATAAACCAGCTCTTCACAGCACCCGTGAGTCTCCCACACCTTGGAGCCCCCAGGGAGCACTGCCCTTTCCCCCACAAGAACCCTTCATGGCTCTGGCCTATAGAACAATTTATTGCCAGGGGGCAGTGGGGGCAAGAGAGGCCAGAATTTTGCAGCCAGCACCCACCCCACTCCCAGCTTCTACTTTACAAAAGAAATTTTTTACAGCCACTAGCCCTCTGTACAGAGTGCCCACACCCCCGTCGCACTGTACACATCTGCCCGGCTCCCTCTGGTCCCTGGTCCACAGCAGGCCTGGGCCTGCAGCCAGCTGACCTTAGAGATGACCTGAGCCCTGAGCTCACTTTAGTGCTGGGCACCAACCGGCCCCTACCAGGCCCGTGCTCTCCCTGCGGAACTGCCCTCAGCCTGATCCATCTCCCTTAGTGTCCCCCTTGGGGACAGGATGGGCTGTCAGCTCCAGTTCTGCCGGCTTTGTTGGTGCTACCATAGGCTGTGCCTGGTCACCACTTCCCCCTCTTGCTCCAGTCCTTGGGAGTGAAGTGCAGACACTTGGAGTCGATGCGGAGAAGTCGCTTGAGCATAGCCCTTTCGTGTCCATCCACAATGTCCTCTGACAACGTGAGGATATACTGGCCCTGGACAGGAGGTGGGACGAAGCAGGTCAGCCCGAGCAGGGCCGCACTCTGTGCCCCTCCACACACCTGCCTCCCCTGCCTGCCTCCCTACCTTGTAGTAGTTGATGAGGTTGAGGTACTGTAGAGTGGAGATGACATCCTCCTTCTTGATGCTGGTGATTTCACTGATCTCACTGCAGGAGGGTAAAGATCAGGTCTCCTGTGGGCCTCTGTCTTTGCCCAAGGCCCCCAGGAACCCCAGGGTGAGAAAGCATGGGAGAAGTCCATGCACCCTCCGGTAGGCGGGGCCAGGCTTACTTGATGGTGATCTGTGGCCTCTCCCCGCTCTCGGACTTCAGCCCCATGAGGATCTCCAGGATGGTTTGGGACCAGTAGCTTCGGTAGGAAAGGAGGCCAAGATCCGAGAGGGGCTTCTCAGGGGTCCCCGTTTTCCCTTCCACTTTGGAGAGTTCATAGCCTAAAGCAATGGAGAGGGAGGGAAGGGGGAAGGGGTCACAACTTCACGCAGCCGGTGTTAAAGAGCAACAGTTGCAGAGGCAAGCTGCCTGCTTCCCATCTTGGCCCTGATGTGCGGCAGTTGCGACCTGGGGTGTGCAGTTTGTCTGCTCTATGCCTCAGTTTTTCTCATAAAGGACCAGAGTATCCACTCTTCACCTGTGCGCCAAGCACAGTGGACAGTACTGCAGGCACTGTGAGGAGCAGCTACAACCAGCTGGGGGTGCTCAGGAGCCAGTGAGGGTTGCCGGGGGAGGCAGAGAAAATGGCTCATAGAAGTGTCTCCAATTTCCCTGTGTCATCCCACTCTCTGTACTTGGGTATGAGGCAGCAAGGAGGGCAGACCCCACCTCTGCTTCAGGCCTGAGATGCTCAGGTTCTCATAGTTAAGGCTCCCTACCCGTGACCCGAGGAGCGTCAGCAGCTCTAAGACTAGACAGGCTTGACCAGGTGGCTGAGCCTGCAAAGGGGGGCGCCACAGCGCTCAGGTCAGAGGGAGGCCATTCCTCAGCGGGTGGCCGCCTCTCAGAGCTCTTGCCTTCCCGCTCTGGCTGCTCTGCCCTCTGGCCTGGTGACCACTGGCAGGCAGTTCCTGGTGAGACCTCAGGTGCCACGAAACCCTCTGTGGTTTTCTGTCTCTTGGGCAGAGCCTTCGTTCACTCCGTCAGGGTCCTGGGATGTCCCACCAGTGGAAGCCCTTCCTCACCCTTAGTCACGACTGCTTCCTGTTGCACCACAGCCTGTTCCACCTTCCTCCCTTTGGTGCCTCTTTGGCAGCCAGTCTTGCCCTCTTGCCCAGTCTCCTGACTTCCACCAAGCAACCCAGTGGCGAGAAGGACAGAGGCTGGTGCTTTGGAGGGCGGGAGCATGGAAGAGGACGGGCACACGCTGGGCCCATGGTGCACGTAGACTCCTGACAGATCAACTGGGCCCCACACGGGCCTCCTCAGCTGCAGGAACTCCCAGTCCCTCCTCAGTGCCTCTCCTGACACCCATCTGCCCGCCCCGCCTGCCGAGGTGAGCGCACCTGGCGGCCCTGCCTGCACCCCCTCCCTGCTGCGGCCTGAGCTCCGAGACCGCATGATGCGCCTGCCTGCTTTGCCAGGCTGAGGACTTCCGAAAAGATGTGACCCCGCTTTCACATTCTTTTACCAATTAAATTTCTTGAATAGGCCATGGCCTTGATCAAGTCACATCTCTGTCTCTTCACCAAACAGCTACGGCTCCCTGTCTTCCAGCACAGAGCTTGGTAATCTCAGCGAACAGTGAGTTGGATAGAATGGAAGTGGGAGGCTGGGGGGAGCCTTGGGACTGTCACAGGTACACAAAGGATGAGGCGGCGGACGTAACAATGCAAGGAATACGGGCCATACCCAAGCAGTCAATGCTTGCATCTCTTTGCTCAGTTAACATCTTTGTTTTTTCCTTTTGAGAGTACACTTATTAAAGCTGGGGACAGTGAAACGATGAAGAGTTTAGGATAGAAGGGACAAGAGAGCGCCTAGGTGGGGCTCCCTTGGCTCCCTAAAATGCCCTGGGAAAGATACGAGCCTACGAGGGGCTGCCTTGGCTCACTGGAAAGTCAGCGAAAAGGAAGCCCTGGGGACAGGCTCGGGTCAGCCTGAGACAGTGCCGCTGCCCACTGCTCCCTGGTCGCAAATCTCATGGGGACCCTAAGAATTAGGAGTGGTACGCCTGAGAGGGAGGAAAGCTGTGGGCGTGCTTGCGGGAGGGGGACCGCCGCCAAGTTAACGGCATCTGAACACCTGCTGTCTGCCAGGCTCAGGGAACGTCCTCGCCCAGGGACTGGTGTGACAGCGCGGCGGCAGAGGGATGAGCAACAGCAGTGAGCTTGGCTTCTGCCCATGGGTCTGGGCAGGGCAGATGAGTCAAGTCGGAGAAGTTGGGTGACGCTTAGCACCTCGGCCAAGGATTCGTGGGGGGCAGAGAGCCTGATCCAGATAAGCGGGGCAGTTACCCTGAGAATGAAAGAGCTGGAAGAGGCCCCATCTTGATTTCTGGCCACAGTGACTGGGCTGCACAGCCAGAGCTGAGAATCAGCAGCCTGGCACGTCTGTGCGCGGCATAGATGGACGCCCTGGCGCTGGGCCTGCTGGTACCGCCCCCCCCCGCCCCCCCGCCCCTGGCCGCGAGCCCAAGTACTCACTGAATTCAATCAGCAGCTTGCCGTAGCCCCGGCGCTGGTAGGGAGGCAGGGTCAGGATGCAGGCCACATTGTAGTCTTCCGTGGATTCCTTTTCCTGGAAAAGGGGAGCAGGTGAGTGCAAGGGAAGGACCTGGCCCAGGGCAGGGCTGAGGCGCTGGCCAGACGAGCACTCACCTTGGAGAAGTAGCCCACGATGTGGAAGCCTTTGCAGTCATACTCTGTCATGACGTAGAAGAGGAAAGGGTCTGTGTCGTAGTACAGTGTCTTGTGGTCGAGGAAACATTTGGCCAGAAGACATAGATTCTGGGAATAACTCTGCAAAGGAAAAGGCCTGTCACCACTCTGGGTACCCTGCCTCGAGCATGGCCATTGGGCCAGGGTCAACCAGGAGCGTCTTTGTACCCCGGGCTGATAGGTGACGGGCGTTCTCCCGAGGCCTGACCTAGCTCATCAATCAGGCTGTCCCTGCTGCCCAGGCAGGGCCACGTCAGTGCCAGGAGCCCATGGGCCTGCCCTGGGGGGTCCTCCACTGCTCTCTGCTATAGCTAACAGCTGTCAACGAACTAACATGTCCCTAAGAAGACTGACCAAGGCTTATGAGAGAAGCCCTGCCCACGTGACAGTCTGAGGAGCATGGCTGTCAAAAAATACAGCTTTCCTGCCTACAGTCACACCTCTTGGGACTGGCCTGGAGGTCTACAACTCGGGATGAATTCTGGAATTTAACAAAGTAACAGCCCTCGGAGCGCGCCCCCCCCGCAAAAGAAACCTTATTGATCTTGTTATTTTTACCTCTGCACACAAGTTATCCTGCATTTCAGACATGATTTATTTTAAATTGTTTTTAAAAGATTTTATTTATTTGCACTGGCTGGTGTGACTCTGAACTGGGTGTCAGCCTGTGAACCAAAAGGCTGCTGGTTCGATTCCCAGTCAGGGCACATGCCTGGGTTGCGGGTCAAGTCCCAGCTGGGGGAAAAGCAACTCATCAACGTTCCTCTACCTCTCTTTCTTTCTCCCTTCCTCTCCCTCTAAAAATAAACAAAATCTTTAAAAAAATTTTTTATTTCTTTTTACCTTTTAAAGGAAAAGGGACAAAACTATCGAAATGTGAGACACAGACACATCAACTGGCTGCCTCTCACATGCCCCCACCTGGGAACCTGGCCTGCAACCTAGGCGTGTGCCCCGACTGGGAATCAAACCAGTGACTCTGGTTTGCAGGCTGGCGCTCAATCCACTGAGGTACACCAGCCAGGGCTCAGACATGACTTTTAACTACGTGCCAGGCACTGCCATCTGGATGCCCGAGTCCACACTGAATACAGAACAGTGGTTAAAGCACCACCTTGCTCTCAGCTCCCCCAGCAGCCAAGCATGAGTGCTCCCTTGCCATTCAAGGTGCCTGCCTCTCCCTCACCACCCTCTAGGCCCCAGGAATGGTGGAGTCTCTTTCTCAACGGTCCTTCCCGTTTACTCCTTCCTAGCCACAGACTAAAGAGGTTTTGAAGCCCAGAATTTATGGTGTCCCTAACTCCCCAGCTGACCTCATTCCCACCACCTGAGCCCTGTGCTTTGTAACAGTCTTTCTTCCTCTCTGCCCTTCAGCCAGAAGGGCCTTTGCCTTTCACATACACCATCTCTGTACGCCCATGCCTGTGCTTCCGAAGCCTACTGCTTGGGAGTCCCTTCCCACCTCGTCTTCCATATCAAGGCTCAAAAGTCACCTCTGCTGTGAAGCTTTCCTGACTACCTCCTCTGGGTCCTAATAACCCCCTTAATAATAAGAGTCATGCTTCACGACACTTAATCGCACTGGGATCTAAGTGTCCACTGGTGTGTCCCCACAGGTTGTGAGCTCTCTGAGAGCAGAGATTTTGTCTAATCCTGGTCACGTCTCCCAGAACCTGCCCTTCAGCAGGACCTCAATGAAAAGGGAGTGAACCAACTTGTTGGCCAGATAAGTGAGCGTTTTCCTGAGAGGAAGAGGCTGTTCATGTGACTTCCCCCAAACTCCAACTTCTGTGGTGTCCCCACTATCTCTCAGCCACTGACCTTATTCTTACGTCCATCAATCTCAAAGAAAGAGATGGTGCCCTTGCGGTAAATCTCGTTGCCCGGTGGATGTCGCAGGTCACACTTGGTCTGAGGAAGAGAGGAGGGTCAGGGGTGGGAGCAGGGTTGGGGTGCGAGTAGGGCAGCACCTGGGGCCCCTCATACCAAGTGACGCTGCAGACACTTGAGGCTACGGCCGTACTTGAGGCAGAACTCGCAGAGATAGAGGACTGGCAATGCGGTGAGCTCCTGCGGGTACGGAGAGAAGTACCACGGCTTGAGGCGGTGCCGGCCCAGCTCAATGCACTCGATGTTCTTCATCCGGGTGACGATGTCGTCGTGGCTCCGGTCAGACACCAGGCTCCCAGTCATGCGCGGAGCTGATGGTATTCCATCCGAGCTGTCCTGGGAGTCCTGCCCAGGGCCAGTGGGAGATACCAGGTTACAGGAGCCTACAGCTCACGCAGCCTCCCCCGCCACAGGTTCCCTTGTTCAAGTCCAACAGCAACCCTGTGGGGGAGATACTATAATCCCCACTCTCCACATAAAAGAGACCAAGACTTAGAAAGTTTTCATTCAAAACTTGGGAAAGGTCACCCAATGACTGGCCTGAACCAGCTCTGCTTAGCTCCTAATCCCACCACCACCGTGGCTGCCCTCTACCTGTTAATTTATTTGTAAACTAGCCACTAAAAGCTCCAGCCCATCTACATCCTCTGCTTTTTACTCAGCTTCCCGTTATCCCAGACCTACCTCATCGGTGCCCAAGCAATTTGATTTTCGCTTCCGTCCTGGCTGAGCTGCCACTGCTCTACGCGCGGATCCATTCTGTAGATGAGATGGCAGGATAGAAGAGTTGGTTGGCTGTCAGGTGAGTCTAAAAGGGGCTTCCAGAAAGTAGAAGAAAGGAAGGGGAGAATGATGGTTTGGAGGACTCACCTGAGGAAAAACTGAGGCGGGGGCCGTCTCGCTGGGCACTGGAGTTGCTGGTGAAACCACCTCCACCTTCCGTTTCTGCAGAGAGAAACCAAGAAAGGTGGGTCAGAAGGTAGAGAAGGTGGGACCTGAGAGGAAAGCAAGGTCCCTGGAATTGCTGAGGGTACCGTTGAGCGGTGGTTGGGCTGCAGGCAGGAGCTGGAGGAGAGCGGCTGGTCAGGCTCACCACCGGGAATGGCCTCCCGCTCCTTAGGCAGGTTGAAGCGGAGTGTGATCTGGACCGGGATTGGCAAGGTCTTCCCGCTGGCCTGGGCGGAGGCCGGCTGTAGAGATAGGTCCAGGGTCTTCCTCTGGGGTGGGGATGGTGGTGGGATGGGAAAGGGGAGTAGGGGCCCCTTAGCGTAGTGTGATCAAACCCCACCCTCTCAAGGACAGGGGAATAGCTGCTGGACTCTGGAAGCTACATCTGCAATCTGGTCTCCATCCTTTGCAAGCTGAAGCCAGGGTACAAAAGTGCTGCCTCAAGCCCATCCAGGTGCCACTGAGGCCAAAAGATGAGAGAAATAGGAGGCAAAAAAGGTGAAGGAGGGGACCTACTCACCACCTCTCTCTCTGGAGAGCCGGGGCGGGACCCAGGAAGTCCGTTCTTGGTGGGGGTCTTGGCCTCTTTCTTCGGGAATTGGATCTTCTTCAGGTCCAGCCGTTCGTGAGTCACCCATTCATCCAAGCGTTTGTTGACTGCAGCAGTGAGGACGGCTCAGGAAGGAATGCCAGGGGCCGCCCGCCAACCCTACCCGGCAGCCCTTCCTCACCGTAGCCCAGCACTCACAATCAATGTAATGAACGTAGAAAAGCTTCCGGCCACTGATGTCCTTCACGCTCAGGATCTCGGCCAAGGCTGTGGGGACAGCATAGAAGCATTAGAAGGGTACGACCATAAGGCTCCACCCTCCTACGACATGAACTACACTCCCAGGCCAGATTCCTACGCCCCAGC